TGTCGACTGCTGCGGCTGCACCTGCACCCACTCCCGCGGCGGCAACTACGTCCCCCACGCTCTCTTCAGGTCAATTCATGCATCTCAGCTCCGAAGCACTATTACAGTCATGGCTGACCTCGTGGCCACACTGCAGCCGGTTCTGGAGTGTTCAAGTCGTCGACGAATGAAATATTCTTTGAAGCCGACGACGACGCGCTGGCTACCGCTCCCCCAGTATGTGCATGTCAGTCTCTGGAATAGAATGTGTCTTACCACTCTGTCCAGCCCCCCACTGCGCCTGTCGAGGAGCCTGCCCAAACCAGGGCGCCCGAGGCATCTTCGCCGGACAGTTCCGGAGGCGAGAAGCCAAGCAGGTTAGAATTTCTCGTTTCTTTCTACGGCGGCAGCATGACGATGTATCTACAGACGTGTGAGGACGACCCCGGGTGGTCCAAGCAGTCTTGGAAGCTTGTGGGATGCGGAACCCGAAGAGTTTAAGCCTACTCGCAGGTAGGTCTATTACATGCCCACCACGATTACACACATCTGACACAGTATACTAGGGTCAGGCAGGGTCCCGGTGGTAAGGATAGCATCTCAGAAGTAAGTCCCCTTCATCACGATTGCCCGGGCTTTTCTCATTTTCTGTGCATCAGTTTTTCTAGGTGTGGTGTATCGAGGAACAGGGTCATCATTTATGTTGTGTGGTAGATCGTACCGTTTATTCGTCAATAACAGCTGTTTGTTCGTTTGAAAGGCGCCCCTAGAGTTCATCTGCATTTTAGCCATCAACGACGCAGCATTTCGAAAATACGCATTATACGCTCATTGAGCTACGATTATCAGGTACGCCGCTCTTTGTACGATATGCTACCAGAGATGTCTCAAAGACGTTCCCCATTACCAGCCCTATCTAGACGTCTGTGTTTGCCCCTGCATTTCGGGCTGGACGTTCCATCGCGTGCGCGTTTCTCCCAAACCAAGTACGTTCCGACTCTTCCAAATTGTCTGGCCTATCACAAAGAGCGTCAGCTCCATGGTCGTCGATGCCCACCGTGCGCACTTACCTGAATGGCCTCAGGTACGCGTATTCGTCGTCATCGGTTGACTTGCGGCGCCTCTGTTCCAGTCCTTCGGCGCGCCTCTTCGTCTCATTCTCCTTAAGCGCTCGAGCATGCTCTATCCAGCGGTCCTTGTCCGGCCCTGGCGGCATCGAGGCCGTCCCATCCCACATCGTCGGGTCGTCCTTTAAGCCTGCAATGAACCTCTCCGTCGCCAAGCGCATGCCGATTATCTTCTTCAGGTCCTTTTCCATGCCCTGCAACATCACGTCCACGGTGTCGCACATCGTCTCACACTCGCGTAGTCCCTGCTCTCTCCAGTCCATGTTGTTGACCAGGCGCGTCGTCCTCAGCCGCGCGTTGACGTTGTCGATGCACGAGGGCGCCACTGGCCCCGTCGTCGAAGGTCCTGGCTCGGCGGCGGCGGTGTCCATATCAATCTCGTCGATGCTCCATGGACTGGGATACACAGGACCAGGAGGTCTATCGGCCACGGCGCCCCCGTTTCCCGTCTTTTGGCCTACTACGTTTGGTGCCGCCGGCTGCGGGGTAGGAGGCGTAACATGGATGGTGAACGATTGCGCTTCTGCGCGCCAACGACCCAAGTCGATTTCCTGTTCTTCCTCCTTCGGCACCGGGCTCACGCTTCTCGTCGTGTAGCGGACAATAACGCGTTTGATGCTCCTGAACGCCTTATGCGCACGTCTCCTCAATGCTGCCGGTCTCCGCGGACGCCCTACTTCCAATGCCGTGTGCTGCCTGCACAGGTGTCAGCGCAAATCCTCAGCCTATAACGACGAGCCCACGTACAGCGGCACACCGTCTGGATACAGAGCCATCAACGCGTCAACAAGGCCCTTAGATTTTCCGTTCGCCTTGATATTCTCGCGCTGACCATGCATTCAACCGGAAGTCAGTCCCGTCCGCCCGTGGTGTGGCTGAGACGACGCCACTTACTTTCGCGACTGCTTGTAGTTCGCCGCGGCGTAGCTGAGTCAAGTATGCGCGATCCATTAGTGTAGACGGAGATATGGGGAGATAGGTGCGAGGGAAAATATCTTGGAGTGAGCGACGCGTTTTATATCCTTCGCTGACCTTGCTTTGACCTGAGCCACTCCCTTTGACGCGAGCGGAGAACAATTGATTTGATTTCGTCCATGGGTACTATCAGCAGCTTTGGACCGTCCTGTCGCAGGGACATAATACAAGGACTGACTGGCTTATATGCATCATGTCAGTGAAGGACAATACGCTCAGCTTACGCCTGTCGAGTCGGTCGACCGTCGACGCCACTCAGAGATAAGCCTGATACTGCTCGGCTACTCAATCATGCCCACGTGGTGACGCTCGCGAATCGCGAGGCTTGTCCGAGGACCGTAATTCGTCCACTTTTCTCCGTCGACGGCTTGAACTCGTCCTTACACCATCGCAGACTGTAAGAGACCAGTCCCGGTAAATTTTTCCTGTTAAATTCCCTGCTATATAGATCCTGACATAGATGTAGGAACACCGATCGCGTACCGTAAAATCTCGTTTTCTCTTGTCGCGGATCGAGTGAGTGTCGTGAATCTCTTGAGATCCTTGTGGATGTTTCCTTACGCGTAACATACTTTTTTCAGACATGTGGGCGTGCAAAAACTGTGGCACACCTCTTGTGCACGACCCACCACCGCTACCAGACCACCCGTTTCCCAATCTCTTCCATAACAACGACCCCCCATCAGCAGTAGATGTCCCCGTCATCCGACACGACATTCGTGAAGTGGAGACGCATCTATCCGTGGTCGATGAAGAGATAGCTCGGCTCCAAGACGTCTTAGCCCAATTAACACGCAAACAAGATGCTCTCCGGGAACGCCTCGACGGGAACCGTAGCTTCGTCTCACCGCTTCGCCGGTTTCCGAACGAACTCCTATCCCATATATTCATCGACTGCCTCCCGGTTGACATCCCAGATATCCGCGCTGTGGTCTTAAAGCTAGGGAGCGTATGCCACACATGGTGGGCGGTCGCATTGTCGACTCCACAACTATGGACGTCAGTGTATCCCACAGGTCGTCGTTCATGGTTTCGTGCAGCTCAAGTCTGGCTTCTGCGTTCTGGAAACCTTCCCTTGTCGTTGCTCTACCATCCTCCTGCAGCGTACTCCCCGGCGAAGATCGCCTATATACTCGAACTCTATTCCACCCGCTGGGAACACCTCAATTTCTCCATATCCGAAATTCACGAGGAATTCGACAACGCCATCGACGAAGGTTTTCCCTCCCTACGCTCACTGGTCCTCAACCTGGGATTGGATTTCGGCCCGTGGTGGGACCTTACGACGTCGACCCAGTTGCGGAAGTTCTCCTACACGAACAGCGTCCTCGACAAGATGATCGACGTCCCATGGGGCCAACTAACACACTTGACATTGTGGCACCAATCGCAGCATAGATGCGTTGATTTCTTGTCCCAGGCTCCGAATCTGGTGGAGTGCAATTTGCATGAAGTGCGAACCAGTCCGGCGGAGGATTCAATTGCACCTTCAGTGCTACTTCCACACCTGCAATGTCTGCTTGTCACTTATGAAATCCACGACTCGGACACTCTCGATATGCTTCTCTTTGAAAGAGCAACGGCGCCTGTGTTGCGAGAACTCAGGCTTACGTCGAACACGCTAGCCGCTGATCGCGCAAGTTCCTTCATGACCTTCCTGCACCGCAGTCGTTGCAGTCTGGATCTATTGGCCATACACTACATCGACATTCCGGAAGACGAATTCATCCAGTGTCTATCAGAACTCCCGTCCCTCCGCGAGCTCCACATTGCCGGTCGCTTCACATTCAGTGACCGTGTCGTCTCTTCTTTGGAACGCTCAGAGGATACTCCCAACAACGGCCGCCTTCCAGCATTGACAGTCCTCACACTCATCAATACTGTTATCAATATCGAGGGCTTGGCCAAGATGATTCGCTCGCGGTGGAGGACTCCAAGTCGGGATGAGTCCCTTCCTCGAGCTCACTTGCCCACGGAGCCCGCTCCCGTACCTCTTACTTATGTGGAATGGCGGGTGACGGAACCAGATTTCTACCCGAAGCCTGATTTAGAGCCCCTACGGGCGCTCAAGCGTGATGGATTTAATGTGGATCTCCCAGAGCCTGCTCCACATGAGGCAAGTACATACACTTTAGTTGGATTCTGAGTGACCAGCTAACGGATGGTGCAGCACTCGGACTTCGACTCTGAGGACGATACCGGGTGAGAAGGCTCACTGCGGAAGCGCCTCAACGGCAATGCGCGAGCTCCCGGTGAGTGCTCTCCCCTTCCGCGCTGCGTAGGTTCTCATGCGTGTGACTGCAAGCAGGTGAAAACGAATGGCGCCAACTCGCTCCCATGGCAGGCACGTTGTTTGATGCAGTCGCTGGTGACCTTGGCCTCGCTATGTCGACGCCGGCGGTCCCTGCACACCCAAGTGAACGCGCACTCACTTCTACACTTCCGCGGCATCACCCAGTATGCACCGTAGTTCCCACACAACCTCAAGTCCGACCCGGATGCCGTGCACGCTGAGATTGGATGTCTTACATTCCCGTGTGTTTTCCTATGGCACTCATGGATCCATAGGACCTTTATGAGCTAGAGCCCCACATAAACGTGTGGTTTTCCACGACTTGGGAATCGATCATGCTGCCACCGCGCTGGAAACGTCAGAAAGACAGCTTTTCTTCATCCTTTCCGCGAAAGTAAATGTGGGCCGGAACGCAGTGACTAGTGACTCGCGACGATTCAATTAAGTAGTGTCCTACACTTTATGAGCGTTGACACGAACCCACGGGATGCTCTCATCGGTATGGAATATAACCCAAGTGGGGCACCACTAAAATGAATTTCATTCTTCAGAATCACAGCCTCTGCCAAGGGCAGTTTGCTGCATGGATTTCGAAAATGACAGAACCAAGTTAGCCCCAAAAACTTTGGCAAGAGTGGGGTTCGAACCCACGCCTCCGAAGAGATTGCATATCCAAGAGTACGTAGTGATTACTTAAGGGCAACGCGATTGACCACTCCGCCATCTTGCCATCTCAACTCAGCGGCTAGAAGGCAGTCAAATCCAAGCATGGACTACTAGGCATGCGCCGGCCAGGTATCAGACGCAAGTGTCGACACACTAGTAGTAGGTGGCCAAGACGGTCCCAGTGTCCATCACCCGCCGTCACTGCCATCGACGAGGAAGCAATGTCGTTCTCCAAGTGATGATTACCACTGACCAGTGCAATGTGTGATTCATGGTCCGAGATTTTCTGGCAAGCTGTTTGCGAAAGTCATCGCGTATACAACGACTTTGCCTCCGTCAATAAGTAATGCATTTCATTCTTGTTATTCAAATTCAACGACTCTGGCTACGCTCGGATGGGGTAGTTTGGCCTCCGAGCAAAGCCAAAGCTTAAGCACACTAGCAGCAGCTGTGGACATCTCTTAGGCTGTGCAAAGTCGGCGTCGGCCAAAAGTCGCCAATTGAACGTTACATATGCAGTGGGCGAGCCGCCGCATTCTTGAGCGAATGCAGCCAAAGTGTGAGCGCCGTATGCCGCAGCGTGTTATGGGCTTTGTTTCATACTCTGTGGAGCCCCGATTTTGTTCCGGGAATGGGTATACCAGATCCGTGTTCCTTGTGCGAGATGGACAGCCAGGAACCCGACAGTGGGATACTTGATCTGCAACTGAGGGCAGACGTGCGGCGCCTGTGCTGTACCTATCTCTCCATGCACTCTATCTCTTTACCTTCACCAGCTCGCAGCTTTCACCAGTCTGCAGCTTCACTTTTGCCATGAGTATCAACGATGTGATCTCTGCTGCCGCTGGCATAGCAGGCATTCCTGGACTAGACATCGGGATCGACATAGGTAAGCACAGCTCATTCGCTTCGACATGATGAGCGCTAATTCACAATTGAACACACGTGTATAGCCAGCGGAATGGCTGCCAACATCGAAAATGTCAAGGTGTATCGAGTGAGTGCAAGCGATATGTTCGCGCCGCTTGCTTTCACTTATGCACGAGATCCGGAATAGCGTCAATGTGCCGACTTGTCCAACCGCTGTGCATCATTACTGGTCGCTTTGCGCGAAAGCAGTACTGGAATGGGAAGTACCGAGGCTCTGAGAGCTGCCGATGAAGTAGAGTCGTGCGTCCTGCTGAGAATCATTTACGAAGGCGTCGATAACTGACCATTGATGGTAGGACGATACGCACCATACATAGAAGAATGCAGAATTGGTCAACTTTGAGTCGCGTCAAGAGTTTTGTCAAGCAAAGCGAGATCAAAGAAGGCATCGACGCATCCTACCGTGCTATCGACGCATGTGCCATGCAGTTCAATGTGCTTTCCCATCTTAATCATGCCCATGGTCGCAGCGCTGACTCGGAAATATCAGGTGTCTGTGAGCATGGAACAGGTTCGAGGCCAACAGGACCTTGTAAGCATCCAAGAGCGCGATCAGGCCGAGCTGCTTCGTACGGTATCTTCATTCTCGCGTCCTGGCAATGTCTCACAATATACACAGAACTCCTCCAGAACATATTGAAAAATCAGGACGAGCTGAAGATCATCAAGCAGATGGGGACTCCCGAGGTTGAAGGCTTCATGCAAAGCATCCAGGAGGTATTCACAGTTCCAAAATGAAAGGGGTCCGTGTCTAACGTCGCGTCGTAGGAGCTTCTCCGTAAACCTACTGCAGGGTCGTCTTCTGTGGACTTACAAGAGCAACAGCAACCACATGCACTGCGGCAAGGGTTGTGGGAGCTTCATCAGGCTACGAATCAGCTCCCTCCGATGATAGACCGTAACAGCTTTCTATTCCTCAGCCGTGCACAATGACTGACTACGAACTAACAGTGACGGGCCAAGTCGTCAAGACAGAGGAAGAACCTGTTGCATGTGGTGCTTTCAATGACATTTACGCTGGTATGCCTCTATTCAAATAAATTGTCTAATCCAAATGCGTGCTGAAACCCCCCGACAGGCCTTTGGCTAGACGAGGAGAAGGTCTGTATATCTTTTCGCCGTTCCTATCAACGATCTGACGGATAGGCGCGCGCTGTCAGGTTGCACTGCGGTTCTCGCGCGCATTTGTCAATAACCCCGTCGCTCAACACGTCAGTTCACATCCTCCCGACTGGCGAGGTTAATCGCTGACAATTTGGCCGCTGCATAGCGCTTTTTGAAAGAAGTTGAGATCTGGAGGCGTTTGCAGCATCCAAACGTAACGCGCCTATACGGAATCGCCTACTTTGGAAAGCAGATATACTCGGTGAGTCATCGTTTCGTCCTACTTGTCTGCGGACGATGCTAACGGACATCAGGTCAGCAAATGGATGGGAAAGGGGAACGCCATCACCTACGTACAACAAAACCCTGACGCAGATAGACTCAAGATACTCAGCGAGGTCGCTATAGGTATGTGCTGTGTCCCATGATAGGTACGCTTTTGACAACGATTCGTTTTCTCAAAGGCATGGAATACTTGCATACTCATGTGCATCCCAACATCGTGCACGGAGATCTTCGCGGGGCAAGCCAACTTCCACACACATAACTTGCGTGCCCATGACTGACCAACCATTCAGGCCAACGTTCTAATTTCAGAGAGCGGCCGCGCATGCCTATCCGATTTCGGCTTGTCGAAAGTACTGGAAGCGGTGTGTCTCAAAACGCCAGTCACCTTGCGTCTGGACTATTCTTACGCAGATCAATTTAGGCGCCCCCAGGGACACAGAGCGCAGCCATTGGCGCCACTGCTTATCGGTGGCTTGCGCCCGAGCTGATCGACCTCTCAGGGGAGACCACGACGCCCGTTTCGACCTACACGGATGTCTGGAGCTTTGGCATGCTTTGCCTCGAGGTGATGACGGGCCAAGCGCCGTTCCCAAATATCAATAGGGACATCACCGTGGCGTTCGAGCTCGTTCGCGGACGACTACCGGATCGTCCGAATGTCAAAGGGCTCAGCGATGGATTGTGGGACCTCATGATGCATTGCTGGAACAAGAACCCCAAGGAACGGCCCTCCATGACTGACATTCGACTGGCAATCCGACAGCTACGATTACCCCCTGGCTCAGGTTTGTCTTCCCTTTAAGCACGCACACGAAAAATATAAATCAATGTCTATCTTTACTAGGCCCACTGCCAACGCGCACAAGCCTTGATAACGGGCCGTCTCCCACTTCCTCGAGACCGCCCGCACCAGTTGCTGTTGGATCGTCGGCTGCTCGCCGTGCCTCAGAGGCTAGTACACAGACTTTGAGAAAGGGACAGACGTCTTCATCGCGTCCGTCTACATCCTCCGGCCCGAACACGTCCCGCACTACCCCGGACTTGCATATGCGCTCCTATTCGTCGACCTCCCAGATGACAGAGAACTCCAAGGGCAGCATCTTGACTTCCCGGCTCAACCAGATCTCGCAGTCACCGCCGTCTGAGTCATTACTGTTATCTCCAGAGCCAACACCAGAGCCAACAACGGACACTGACGCCGGCGAAGCGGACTGGGGGATCCTGGGTGACCTACTTGGCTACAGTAGCAAATCCACCGCTTTCCGACGGAATACAGCAAGCTTAGGGGAAAGGCCTACCATCTTTCAGTCCGCACACAACCGCGGGCCCAGCCAACCCATCAAAATTCCACGCTCTGAATCCGCTCGACAGCCATCTTTTGACGACCATCTGAATGGACATAACGGGGGACTGTCGAGCTCTCTTCCAGCACGTATCTCGCCTTCGTTGCTACCTCACACCCCGTCGACAGAGTCAAATGCTGGCTCTTCGGGGCAGTCAATCTCCTCAAAATCAAACTCGCTTGAGATGGCGGTAAACGACCCAGCTGCCCTCATACAACATGCACGCGATGGGTCCGTCGATTCCGGAACACTAGAGGGTCTGGTCGATCGCTTGATCACAGACTCAAAAGGTGCGTCTTCTTTAATCGACTTATTCGTAAAGTGTTGACACATTCGGGACAGATTTCAGGAAAGATACCGAGTACCGCAGAATATTCATAGCCACTTATCTAGCTTTCACGACGTCAGAAAACCTCTTCGCTACACTTGTCCGTCGTTACGACGAGGTAGAGAAGGATCCGAAGATGACTGCGAAAGACAGGTCGATCTTGCGATACAGGCATGTCTGATCGATCCTTTCTAAACCTCTTCCTCCCCGCTGACTTTCTTCAATCTTAAGCGTGTTGACAGTAATCAAGCAGTGGCTGGCTAGCGCACAGATCAACATTAATGTGTTATCAGGCATCCAAGACTTCTGCGCGTCGGTACAAAGCTCCGGTTACATGAAGGAGTTGGCTTCAGAGGTTTCCTCGAAGGTGATCGACCGGGTAGGTCCTCGTCAAGTTCTGCGTGTAGTGTCCCTTCTAACTTACGGACGAAAGATTGCCGCATGCCAGAAAGCAGGACTCATGTCCCCCGTTTCGTCCAGTTTCAGCTCCAGTGCGGTTGTGAAGCCTGAGGCTCCTATAGATCTGGCACAAGCACTCTCTATCACGGAAGGCGACTTGTATTCTCGCATCATCCAGGACGATTACTTGGCGTACTTCAAGAATATCGGCGGACAGACGCCCATAGATGCGGCACTGGTCAAGAACCGCACGATCATGAACTGGATCAAAAAGTCCATCCTTCGTTCAGAGGATGTCGAAGTCCGCGCCAGCACTTTGAAGTTCTTCATCAATGCGGCTGAAGTAAGGGTTTACTCGTACCTTTCTTCTTTATCTGACGGTCTCTCTACCTAGGAATGTCGATTGCTGAAAAACTTCGCGTCCTGGGCGACTATCATGAAGGCTCTGAATTCGTTGACCATCTCACGTCTCCGCATAACACGAGAGAAAGTCACCCGAACAAAACAAATGGACCGTTTATGGCAGAAACTATCCACTATTTTGGACGACAAGGACGACCATCGGGTTTACCGTTCAGTTTTGCGCGAGGCAAAAAATGAATGTATACCATGGCTAGGTGCGTCTCAATCATTGTGTTTAATAAGGACTTCAGTAAGGTCAATCCGCTTAGA